TAGAAGAGCAGTGAGAGGGACTCTAATGCCCAGGGTAGGTGTGGACAAGCCCCCAGAGCTAGCCACAGAGGCTGAAGCAAATCCAGGTGGCTGTAGAGGCTTGTTTCAGATGTGGTCCTTCCGGAGCACGATCCCTGGACTAAAGGCGGCCCCCAGCGGCCAGTGGCGGATCTCGTGCCGGTAAGATGCGACCAGGTAGTCGAAGTAGTTGATACTGAGTTTCCGGGCAATGTGACGGCCCAGATATTCCATGTGCTGTGGAAAAAGGTAACGGCCAGGTCTCCGGGCACTGGAAACGCCTCTTGGGAGTCCCCACTCTGGTCCTCCTGGGATGCTCTGGCAGCGCTGAGATCTAGGCGCTGAACCAACCCTCGCCGCGCGAAATGGCCTCACCCAAAGGCCCCAAACACTGTGACAGCAGTCATTTTAATCTAGAAGGGGGCCCATGTCTGAAGCTTCACCCACCTCGTAGCGCTCTGACAGCTGAACCAGTACCAGCGGCTCCAGCTTGTGGCCGCAGAGGACCAGTCGAAAGAAGCGCCTTCCTTTGGCTGGCGAGGGTTGGGCAGCTCAGCCACCCGCCGCTCAGGGCGGAGCCTGAAGGGGGCACCTCTAGGGCGGAACCCTGGGGCAAGATGGGGCCTCCAGAAGGGACTGGGCCTTCTGGGGAGGGCTCCAGGGCCAGGCCACGGCAATCTGTCCTCTCCCGCCCACCCACCGACTCTCCGAACAAGTCACCGTCGGAGTTGAGCGCCAGACGAACGTAGACCAGGTGCATGGGCCCCTGGTACACGGTGCGGCCCTGGATGGAGAAGTGGTACATGCCACGCGTGTGATTAAGCACCAGACGGCGCAGTGGCAGCGATGAGATCAGCAGCCACAGACCCACGCACATGCCATAGGCCAAAACGGCCCAGGTCACCTGCTTCTCTGCCTGTGGAGACGTTGGTAACAAGGATCTGATAGACAGACAGTGAAGGAAGGGAGGGGCGGGGGGAGGGGGACCGCGATGCCGGGGATGGGACTAGAAGAGCAGACCTGCCTCAGGATGTCTAAGCTGACCAGGAGCAGGCAGATGACAAAGAGCAGAGTCCCCTTCCAGAGTGTGTCCAGATAGTACTCCAGCACAAAGACTGTAGGTGTATACTTGAGGATAACTTCCATCACCCCCCACCTGCACCCTTGCCTGTCAGTGCCCTGGGCACAGCCCGGGCCCACGGACCAGCCCACCCAGTCCCCTTCCAGGTACCCTCCTCCCGTTCCTCAGCCCTCATACCACCAGGCTGCTGTTGGGTGAATGGGTAAAAGCTGTTATTCTTGAGGCGCCTGGCCAGATGCCGCTCTGTGCGGAAGAGACTCAGGGACCAGAGTTGGAACCGGCTGCCAGTGAAGGAGGTGGGTAGGCCACTGGCCCAGCCCTTGGGATTCTGGATTGGGCAGAGGTGGTCAGTCTGGCAGCTTGCCACTGCCACTGCCCACTGCCCACAGTCACACTCCTACCTGGAACAAAATCTCCAGGACTGTAGCCTGAGAAGGAGCAGGAGTTCACAGCGGAACGAAGCTAGGGAGGCTGGGCCTCACACAGGTTCTAGAAGTTCTGGGTGGCAGGTTCTAGAAGGGGGCCTCTGTTGACCACTCCTTCTTCAGGGACATGCATTTTCTGGCTATCCATCCCACCTGCAACCTGTTGCAGCCTGACTCACAGTCCTTATTTAAAGGTGGGTACCTGGATACTCTCGGCTTGTTTTAGAGAAAGCTGCGGGAAAGTACCCCTCAGAGAACCCTGTGGCTGAACAGGGCCCCTTCCTCTCTACAGTCATTCTATCCCCACTTCCTATCAGCTCACTTAGTATCCTAAGATGGGACACACAGTACAAGGGCAGAACCCAGCAGTGAGTGTGCAAAAAGACAGCTGCTGGCTGTCTTTGGGGTCACCCCAACAACACAGCATCCATCAGGGTTAACCCGTTCCTCACTCAAGGGACTACCCCAAGGACCACGCAAAATTCCTAAAAACATTTTATTGAGACAAAATGTTCCAACATCCCAAATTAGGAAAGACTACAGGGCAAGGCTAGCCAGGTTTGGTCAGGAGCCACCTAGTTTGGGAGAAGCATGGCTGGTGAGCAGCTGTTCCAAACACCACTGGACTTCTTCCATACCCCGGTAGGCTCGCTTCAGGCCCCTGGGGAGGCAGCGGCAGGACTCCAGGTTGAGGTACAGCAGGCCAGGGCAGCTACTGATCACAGAACTGTGGATAAAAGCCAGAGGGAAGTGAGTTGCTGCCCAGAAAACCGAGGCTCTGGTGAGCTGCAGACCGGAATCAGTTTTTCTGTGCTCTACCCCTGACCTGCCAACAGTAATCCAGGCCCAAGCCCAGTACCTTCGAATTCCCAAAGCCAGTGCCAAGAAGAAACTTGGTCAGTTCCTTCAAGCATCAAGCCAGATAGCATACCTAGGCCTCATGGCAGTTTCAAGAGAAACAGACGCTAACCTGACTGTGTTCGGTGTAACCCGGGTAGCCCTGAGGTTGAGGGAGCACAGGGCTGGGTGTGAGCCCCCAGGGATGCCTGAGAAGGCAGCCAGTGCCTGTTCCAGATCCTTCTCGCTGAAGCCCTGGCCACTCAAGTCCAATTCTCTCAGTGTGTGGTACCACTTCTGGGTCAACAGGGAGCTGCCCTCCTTGACTAGAGTAAGCCGGTCCGATACCCCATACAAGCCCAGATGCAGCTGTTCCAGTTCTGAGATAAGAGAAACAAGCATGAGTCACAAGGTAGGCAAGGACTACAACCTACCTGCCTCATCATGACCCTGCAAGAGCTGACCTTGACATGGTAGATCACAGAGGCCAGCAGGTGTGATACGAGTACAGCCACGAAGATCCAGCAACCGAAGATTGGGGGAACCATGTAGCAGGCGGCCCAAGACCTCATTGCTCACAAGGTTGCAGGCAGAACTGGCCAGGCAAAGCTCCTCAAGGCTGGGGAAGCCTGGTCCCAGGGCTACACCTTGCCCAGAAGGCTTGGGCAGCCACATGAGATTCAGCAGCCGCAGCACCTGAAGGCAAGGCTCAGGCTGCAGGGAGGGAGGGGGGTGACAGGTGGGAGAAGCAGGACATCAGGTACCTGCAGCTGGGGGCATCCTTTCTGCAGAGCCTCAACAGGCAGCTGCAGTGGAGTGCTGTTGTGGTTGATGCCGGTGCTCACCTCCAGAACCTGTAGCTGAGGGCAGCAACTGCTCTGCAGAAGTGGAACAAACAGTGGGGTCAGACTCCTGGCAGTTGCCAGTTCAGCAATCAACTCTGCTCCTGCCCATTGCCAACCTACCAGCAGTGCACCCAAGATGGCTGTTGTCTGTGAGCTATAAGTCAGCCATAGCTTGCGCATTCGGGACCCTGCTTCCTCCAGAAAGCTCACCACAGCTGTGGACTCCACCTGGGGATACAGGACAGATGTGCTTGTCACCCGGGCTCAGTCTTCTTCAGGGCCCCTTGGGACACAGGGCTCACCATGGAATGCTGTAGGTTCAGGCTGTGAAGCTGGCCACAGGTTTTAGCTAGCATGATCAGAATGTCAGCAGTTATGCCATGGCAGTCTAAAAGCTTGAGGAAGGCGAGTCGAGGACAGGACTCGCTAACCAGCTGTGGAAAGACACAGGCCACATGAGATTGGGAGACGGCCGGCAAAGGTCCACAAGAGACTGGTGGCCATGCCAATCCTCCTGTACAGCCCCAACTATGACTTGTGTTCTGCCCATGCCAGGTATAGCTGGGTGTCCGTAAGGCTGGCTTCATCCTGCTGAAGGGCAAAAGAAAAGGTAGGCATCCCCGTGGAGAAGCTCAGAACCACTCCCTGGAAGTACTGGACAATCTCAAGTGTCACAAATGGTGTGCAGGTCAGCCTTGAGTGCTTACCTTCAACACAGCGTGTACCTGAGACTTCCAGTGGATGAGGGTCAGACTCTGGAGCTGTGAGAACCTGGGCAACAGCAAAGGCCCAGCTGCACTAGCATTCCCACATTGCCCTTGCAGTCAGTGTCCTCCCCTCCAATACAGGGAGAGCGAGGGGTAAGAACAGGGGCCCCTCACCGATTGGGCATGAGCCATTCCAGTGAGGCAAGAAGCTTTTTCTCCGCCTTAACCCTGCCCTTGACAGCGCGGCCAGCCAGCGGGGGCGACAGTGTCACAGTATGCCAGAGAGCGGGCTGGGAGGCGGCCTCATTCCAACGGCGGCACACACAAGCAGCCCTGGGAGAACAGTTCGTTGAAGATGTCCCGCCTTTCGTGGGCGATGCCCGCGACGCGGTTTACCAACGGGGGACGGATGTGCCTCCAGAGCCTGCGGCCCAGGGGGCATCTCTGCTCAAAGTCCAGTTCCTGGGGTTCCCAGTGGATTCCCAATACGTGCTGGAGCACAAGTGTACGCGCACTAAAACACTTTCACCCTCTGCGGTGCTCTGCCACCCACGCCGCTGTAAATCCACCTGCAGCTTACACCGAGTAGTATACCTGCCGAGGAACGGCATGGGCCCATCGGCTGCCACCAGCAGCCTGAAAATTTGCACCAGGACCTCCAAAGGAATGCGGTCTCCCCAGCCCACATCAGGCCCCTGCTTCGGAACGGGCGCTGGCTCAGGTTGGGGTCGCGGTCGGGGTCGGGGTCGGGACTTGGCCGCTGGGACCGAGCCCGACTGCCGCCGCTGAGCGCTGCGAGAGGCGCGCTTACGCGCGCGGGACCGGGCGCGGGAGGGCCCCAGACCCGGCAGCACAAGCAGCATGCTGTCTGCCTGCAATAGGTGATACTCGGAACCGCTGGGCGCCAGTCGGTCCCACCACCAGTCCTCAGCCGAGCGGTCTCGCGCCCCGGCCAGCGGCGAGCTCCGGACCCGGCGGCCGGCTTTACGCCGAGGTCGCCTCGCCGCACCCGGAGCCATAGCCACCAAGGTGGCGGAAGTAGGACCGGGCGGAAGGGGCGGAGCCGCCAATCCCCGACTTCCCTCCAGCTCCGCTGGAAGCCCGGCCCCAAACTCCTCTTCCGGGGAGGGCGGGCCGTCGTGGCGAGCAAGGTAGGCCCTGGAGTGTGCAACCTGGCTGCGTCCGGGGCTGGAATTGTACGCTCGCTAGCCGGAAGGCCGGCCACGGAGCCGGTAGCTCGGGGCCAAGCTCCGATCGCCTTCGACCACGCCCCTTCGCCACCCGCAGCCCTGGGTTCATTGAAACGACTGCTCGTCGTTCTCCGGTCTTTGTGAGAGTGGGCTGTAGTGTTTTGGCTGCACAGAAGGCTGGTCCTTCGTATGTAACAGGGTCCACTGAGCTCCTCCCTTGACCAGTCCCCGTACCGGCGCCTCGTGCCAGCTTCTGGTATGTGCGGTGCCCGACTCCCCACCGTGTCCCTTCCAGGTGCTCCTTGACCTCCTCTCTCTCCGGTCCTGACTTGCATGCTTATTTGTTTCCTTCTAGCTGGAAAAGGTCTTCCAAGTCCAGAAGAGCCAGAGCGTCTTAGGACTTAGGTGGGGAGTAAGCGGTCTGTGACCTTCCGCCGCGTCCTGGAGAGGCCTCTTTGGCCTCATGGCAGCACCACCGCTGGGCCGTCTGGTGCTGACCCACGTGCTGGTGGCCCTCTTCGGCATGGGCTCTTGGGCTGCTGTGAATGGCATCTGGGTGGAACTACCGGTGGTGGTGAAAGACCTCCCTGAGAGTGAGTGGAGAGGCGGGTGGGGGTGCTGCGGCTTTTGTGTATCCTCTAGGTGCCCTGACACAGCCTCCTCCCACTCTACAGGTTGGAGCCTCCCAGCGTACCTCTCTGTGCTTGTGGCGCTGGGGAACCTGGGTCTGCTGGTGGTGACCCTGTGGAGACGGCTGTCCCCGGGCAAGGGCGAGCGGGTCCCCATCCAGGTGGTGCAGGGGCTGGGCATAATAGGCACAGCCCTCCTGGCCCCTCTGTGGCACCACGTGGCCCCAGTGGCCGGGCAGCCCCACTCTGTGGCCTTTCTAACGTTGGCAATGGTGTTGGCACTAGCCTGCTGTGCTTCTAATGTCACTTTCCTGCCCTTCCTCAGCCACATGCCACCTCCCTTCTTACGGTCTTTCTTCCTGGGTCAAGGCCTCAGTGCCCTACTGCCCTGTATGCTGGCCCTCATTCAGGGAGTGGGCCGCCTTGAGTGCCTACCTGCCCCTGCCAATGGCACCTCTGAGCCCATCTACTTCCCTGAGCGTTTTAGTGCCAGTACCTTCTTTTGGGCACTGACTGCCCTTCTGGTCACTTCAGCTGCCGCCTTCCAGGGTCTCCTGCTGTTACTACCATCACCAGCATCTGTACCCACAGGCAGCCCAGTGCAGGGCCTGCAAGTGAGACAACCAGGAGTAGAGGAGGAGGAAGAGGAAGAAGCCTCACCGTTGCAGGAGCCGCCCAACCAGGCATCACGCACTACTGTCAGCCCAGACACTAAGGCCCATCAGCTGTTCTCAGCCCGTGGTGCCTGTTTGCTGGGCCTGTTGGCCATCACCAATGCACTGACCAATGGTGTACTCCCTGCTGTGCAGAGCTTTTCCTGCTTGCCTTATGGGCGCCTGACTTACCACCTGGCAGTGGTGCTGGGCAGCTCTGCCAACCCCCTTGCCTGTTTCTTGGCCATGGGCATCCTGTGCAGGTACATGGGGCCCTATCTTTGGTGGGAGGAACTCAGGACCTACACAACTGGTTCTAAATCAGCCCATCCCTGGCAGGTCTCTGGTAGGGCTCTGTGGCTTGTTTCTTCTGGGAATACTCTTTGGGGCCTACTTGATAGCACTGGCAGTCCTGAGCCCCTGCCCTCCTCTAGTGGGCACTTCTACAGGCATGGTCCTTGTGGTAAGTACAGAAGAGATGAGAGGTGGGGAAGGCTTGCCCTGGGGCAGGGGATTTGCACACCTAGCTTGCTGTGACCCTCCCCCCAGGTGCTGTCATGGGTGCTGTGTATGGGCCTGTTCTCATATGTCAAGGTGGCGATCAGCTCCATGCTACATGGTGGGGGCCGGCCAGCATTGCTAGCGGCTGGTGTGACCATTCAAGTGGGCTCCCTGCTTGGTGCTGTTGCTATGTTCCCTCCTACCAGCATCTACCACGTATTCCACAGCGGACAGGATTGTGTGGACTTGTGTGGCCACTGAACTTGAGCAGGTGGGAACTGATGCCACTCTATTTGTCTTCACTGGGGGCTCCCATAAGTCCCTGAGTGCCTGCAGGTGGCCCAGCAAGGTTGCCCACATGCTTACCCACTCAGGGTACTGGCACACTCCACAGGAGACTCTGACACTTCAGGCAGGGTGGGGACCAAAGAGCAAGAACAGGTTGAGACCTGGGATCTTTGTGTAGTTTCCAGAATAAAACATCTTTATTCAGTGGGCAGTGATTAATCCCATGAGCACTTCTCCCTGTGGAAGCCAACTGCCTTCCCCAGCAGCTTGCTCTGGCCAATTCAGCACTGACTGTCTATCTCCCCACAGGTGAGCCCTTGGTTCTTGGAACTGTTCTTTGGGGGAAGGCCAGCTAGGGCTTCATGAGCTTAGAGGCCCTGCATGGAGGGCCTCTTCTGTGTGGAACCTATCTGATAAGTAGCAACCACTGCTCCATAGCATATGTTGGCGTGGTCAGGCAGGATTGGATTGTGACTTGCTGAGGTTCCCACTACCGTTTCATGATCTGAGAATGGCCATACTTACCCTTGGCTGCCTAGAGGTATCCTGTCAAGGAATTTATACCTGCCGTTGGTACAGAGTCCAGGCACAGAGAGGGCACAGTGAGGAGAATTAGAAGGACCCTTCAATCCAATAGCCTTATCTATTTCTGTTTATAAGCCACCAACTTCCAGTTTCCAGCTCCTGGCATTATAGCCCCAATGTACCCTGTTGAGGCAGACATGCTGCAGCTGCCTACTGGGCTGCTGGTAGACAGCTGGTTCTGTGTAAGCCTTTGCTTATTTATTTACTTGGTGTTTTTGTTTGTTTGTTTGTTTTTGTTTAAGATAGGATATCTGCATTGTCCAGGTGGGACTTGAACTCGTGAGCCTCCTACCTGACTGGGCCTTTGTTTCTTGGCATCTGCAAGGAGCATTTCTTCGTTGGGCTTATCCTGGGCTTGGTGGTACTCATCTGTGACACAAAGCGCGCAGAGCTGGAGCCACCTGCTAGGAGGAGCACTGGAAAGCCTTTGACCCAGCCGAGGACTGCAGTATTCCCAGGAGGGTATCTGAGTTTCTGCCTTCTTGTCTTGTGGGTGGGCAGGAGAGGCCTGTGGGGAACACATCCTCCCCAAGTAGCAGGACCCTGAGCTGTGATCAAGAGTGAGTAGCCCAGTGTGAGTACTCATTCTCACAAAGGAGGTTCCTTCTACTGTAGGACAGAAGAGTGGTTTTCACTCCTGCTGACTGTGTTCCTTCCTGTCATTGTTTTAGTCTCTGAATGCTTTTCTGAGCTTGAGAACCTCCATCAGTAACTTGGCTGCATGGCCTTGGTAGGACCAGCTGAGCAGGGGCCTCTCAGGTGGCTCAGCCCAGTCCTGGGGAGGGTTAGGGCAGCTCAACAGAGTTGCTTTCCTCTGGAAGGTGGGCAGGTACTGAGGGGGTGAAGGTTGTTGTAAATTTCAGAAGCTGTGCAAGGTGGGTAATGGAGAGAGACCCAGAAGGATGGGGCTGAGGTGCATGGAATCATAGGATTGCCGAGGAGTTACACTCCATACCCTCTTCCCTTCTAGCACTCTGCTTCTGTCCACCTGGGCTGCAGGCTGATGAAGCCCCTCCCAGCTCTTCTTTGACCTCCTTATCAGAGTAGATAATCAGAGGTTCCTGTAGCCTCCACCCTGGCACCACAAGTACAGTGTTCAAGGGTGGGCCACAGAGAAGTGAGAGGGTTGCCCAACCCTAAAAACATACCTGGTCTCCTGGAAAGAAGTGTCGTGGGCCAGAGGTGGGCAGTCTGAGGAGCCCACTGCTATTTGAAGTCTCCCAGGGCTTTCCCATCCTGCTCCAGGAAGTGGGACAAGGGTCAAAATAACAAAGGGAGGGAGATAACAAAGCCAGGGCTGAGGCATTTCCATCAAGCACTTGATCCTTTACACACCACACCGACCAGTTTAGGAGAGACCTCTTCAAGGAAGGCAGAGGGCAGGAGTAAAAGTGAAGCCCGGGGCCCACTATTTCCTTCCAAGCATCAAAAAATGTCTCTTTGGTTCCTTGAAACCAGAGAAGGGCCAGTTTCCTTACCCAGCCCCTGAGTGAGAGGACAAGGCTACCTGGCTCTGATTGAATGGCAAGGTGGGGCTATGACTCAGGGCACTGGGGTCCTAGAGAGCTGTGAGTTCTGCAGTGGCAGGTGTGAACCACAATAGACAGCCCCAGCCTCAGGTGTGAGTCTGCTCTGACCTTCCCCCTTCTGGCTTGGGGATGTAGGATAGTGGGATAACAACCATCTGTGGAATTCAGAGGAAATTCCCAACTTCTCTGTGGCCAAGAAAAAGAAGTTATGCTGGCTGGGCGTGGTGGTGCATGCCTGTAATTCTAGCACTTGAAGAAACTGAAGCAGGAGGATTGCTAGGAGTAGCAAGACCTTAACTTTAAAAAAAAACAAACGTGAGTGGTCAGGAATGGATGTGGGAATCTACATTTGGGAATCACCTTCTCCATACTCTGCTCCCAGGAAGGAGATCTGTTGCCCACCTTCATTGAATCTGAATCTGGGATTTCTCTGTTCCCAACACTCCCTTCTCTGTCCCAGAGACCCTGTGGCTGCCCATGTGACCCACTTTTTTGTTTTTGTTTTTTTTTTTTTTGGTGCCAGGGATCGAACTCACAACCTCGCACTTGCCAGGCAGGCGCTTATGCCACTGAGCTAAATCCCCAGCCCTATGTGTCCCACTTTAGAACAGGGTCACAGTGCTCGCTGGAATAAATCAGAATCCATCATGAGATCTGTCTTAGGGGTATCAGTTATCCTAAGAACTATTAAAATTACTCAAAAGTATTGAAGGAGCTTGCCTGAGAATGAAGGCACCCAGCTAAGAAGTAGAGAAACAACATCATGGAGTCACTGAGATCCAGTGTGCCTGTTGCTACCCCTCTTTGACTTGGAACCCTAGTCCTCTAAATGTTACTGCTGAAGTTCCCATAGGTCCCCAGATCCTGCTGTATCCCAGTCTAATTCCAGACCACATCCCAGATGGTGCGCTCAGTGATACTCAGTCTGAGAGTCCTGGACCCAGACCACATGACACCAACTCTGGCAGGGAGCCACCTGCTCAACAGAGTATCCTGACAGCAGTGTCTGTTCAGCACAGTGGTGTCCTAAACAAGGCATGATGGTTTCAAGTGTCCCCCAGAAGTCTCATGAGTTGGAGGTGGGACCTGATAAGAAGAACCAGGTCACTGGGGGCCTGACATGGAAGGATATATTCTTGTCACCATCTTTTTCTCTCTGCTTCCTGGCCACCATAAGTTGAACTCCCCCCCCCCGACTTTTTACTGTGCTGTTTCTATCTTGTAGTAAACATGAACTGAACTCACTGAAATTGTAAGCCCAAATAAACTTCTCCTTTAAGTTGCTGTTATGTATTTTATATGTGTTACCAACAATAAAATGACTAATGTACAAGGCCAAACTAGCCACTGTGACCTTGACCTCTGTTTTGAGGAACCCTTGGAGGTCTGTTGAGATGGTCCAGCTGAGGAAGGTCTCTTCCCAGCTAGCTTCCCATTGGGCCTGCTCTGAGGTTCTGGGAGGGCCAGAAGCCGGGGAGCTTGCCTAGAAGGCAGGAAGGCAATCAGGGACACACCCAGCGAGGGAGCTGGGGTGGGAGTCTGGGACAGGGGCCAGGAGAATGTTTAACTACCCCAGGTAGGAACAGATTGATCAGATCTATGTGTCCAAAGGTCTGAGCATTCTGGAATGTCAAGGCTGTGGCAGAGGGTTTTCTCCAGTCTCGATAGTTCAAGGAAATTCACTTGTTCAGGGGAGGGGACCCAGGGAGTAAAGAAAACAAGCTGAGTTGGATGTTAGGTTTTCCAGTGTAACAGAGAAGCAAAAAAAAGAAAAATAGGCCTTCATTGAGGACTTGGAGAGGAGCATACCTGGGGTTGATCTCTGGGCAAAGACAAACTGAGCTGAAGGTTATATAAACTCTGTCCAGAGGCAGGCTATGGGGGCAGTGGAGATGGATAAGGAACTGACGAGTTTTCTTGCCTCGGGAAAAGGACTCTGTTCAGGGCTGAGGGAAGGAGGAGGATGGAACTGGTCATCAGGAAGATAAGCTTTTGTTTTGACCACTACCATAATATTCGGTAATTTATATTAAGGCAGAAACCTTTCAGATGTGATGGTACATGCCTATAATCCCAGCACATCGGAAGCTGAGGCAAGAGGTTTGCCGAGAGTTCCAGCCCAGTTTGGGCTCCATAGTGAGCTCAAATCAGCCTAAACTGTGTAGCAAGATCCTGTCTCAAAACAAGTTGAGATGTGGCTTAGTAGCAGAATAGCTGCTTAGCACGTTCTCTCTCTAGCTTTGCAAAAATAGAGATTTCTAATAAACAGCTGGATGTGGTTGAACACACTTGTAATCCCAGCACTCAGGAGGCAGAGAGAGGAGGATCAAAGATCGCTGGAATTCGAGGCCAGCCTGGGCTACACAGGAGTTCAAGGTCAGTCTGCACTACAGAATGAGATCCAAGATTTGAAAAACAGCATATTACTTGGAATCTGTAGTAGAAAACTGCATTGTTTAGAGTATACCCTCTCAAGGCATTTGATTATTCAGGTTGGTGCCTGTCACTGCCTTTGAGCTAGTTTACTATGTATTTGTAGATAACCAAAAAAACAAAACAAATAATTCTTTTTTATAGACCTGAAAATAAATTCTGTCTCCTGAAGGTTTAATTGATTTCCCTTGTGCAGTGGTGGGAAAAGCTACCCTGAGTTACTTTCAGAAAGCTTTCTTGTGATTCTTTGACTTCTTTAAACATCCCTGGTCTCCCATAATAATAAAGATGTGTCTAGGAGGCCAGTGGCACCCCAACTTAGGGGACAGCACGGTGCCCCGCTGCAGGAGGGCTGCTCTCTGGGATTTGCAAACTTCATACCAATTTTAAAAATCAGACATACAAAGTTTAAGGAAAGGAAGACATCTTATTTGACACCTTACTGGAAAGGGAGACAAAACAGAAGATTCTGATGGCTAAATCAGAGTAGGGGATCCAGACAGAAGAGCCCTTTGTTCCCTGCTGCTTTTTTATTAGCTATTAGGGCCCTTCCCAACCTAGAATTTGTTATAATTTGATTGACTATTTTAGGTCTTTGGGTCCCACCCCAAGTACCATGATCTACATGCAAATACCATGGGAAGTTCATTTCCCTTATCCTCTCTGAGGAATTTATGGGTTTGTTAAGAGAACTTTAACTACAAGGTTGAGTTAGCCATTAAATAAAGGGAAACATACACACACACTGTCTTAAGTGGTGGGCCCTGGTCTTTTCTGAGATGGATAGAGAGGAGAGATAACTAGTTTGATTCAGTTGGGGCCTTGCCTGGCTTATCAGCTTTTTTCTTGTTGATTTCTTTCTCCAGTGAGGCTTTAACTCTTTCTAGTCAGGATTAGCCAAAGAGCTTACTGTGGTCTTTAACCTATTATTTTCCTTCCTGTTTGTCCCCTTTTCCTCCTGATCTGAGCATTTTGGGCAGTTTTGGAGATCTTTCCCCTACAAGCCCAATGGCTCCCCTGACAGCCTGCGATGATGTCCTGTCCTTAGTGCTGTGCTAGGCCTCACGGGCCATTTTGTGAGTTTGTTTTTTGTTTTGTACTTAAAATTGAGTGTCCAGGACCCTCATAGCAAGCTATATTCCCACTCCTCTACATTTTAATTTTTTTTATAATTTTAGGGCAAGAGGGGCTGGGGATTTAGCTCAGCGGCATAAGCACCTGCCTTGCAAGTGTGCAGTCGTGAGTTCAATCGGTACTGATAAAAACGAAAAACAAAAAAAAAATTATAATTTTAGGGCAAGATCTTGCCAAGTTGCCTAGGCTAATTTCAAATCTGTAGTTCTCCTGTCTCAGCTTCCCAGAATTCTGATATTACATGTGTGTGACACTGATACAGGGGAAAGAAACTCCCATCCTATTACATGTCCAGTACGAATTTGTGTTATATAAAATCGAAAAGTGAATTTTAGGGACAGTATAGGTGAAGAGCAGAATGTATTTATTGAGGGAAAGAAAGCTTGTGTCTCAGAGACAGAAGGGGTCCTAAGTGGGTTGCCGAGGATCCCACCTTTGGATTTTTCTGACCTCTGATCACTTAGTGAGCCCTGATAAGTGGATCATAATTGTGGGCAGCTAGTGTCCACTGGACAGGAGATGGTGGAGAATCTGGTTGTTAGTCTGTATGCATTTGATGCCATTCGCGGGCTACATAGTAAATCTGTGCTGGCACAAGAAAAAAATTCAGAACTTGACATAGATCAATTAGGATGAACCAGTCTGAAGAACTATAAGGAAAAATAATGAAGAAAATGGACAGAGCTTCAAAATGTTGTGGGCCAATACTTCTAAAACTGTTATACAAATTCAGTGCAATCACATTCAAAATTCCAATAGCATGTCTCACAGAATTAGAGAAAGCGATACTAAAACTCATCTGGAACCAGAAGAGACCTAGAATAGCAAAGGCAATCCTGGGCAACAAAGACAAGACAGGGAGTATCACAATCCCTGACTTGAAATTATACTATAAAGCTACTATGGTAAAAACTGCATGGTACTGGCAAAAACACAGACCTAGAGATCAGAAGATGCAGAAACAATTCCAGATACACTAAGACACCTTATGTTTTTTTTTTTTCCAGTACCAGGGATCAAACTCATGACTGCATGCTTGCAAGGCAGGTGCTTATGCCGCTGAACTAAATCCCCAACTCCTGACACCTTATCTTTGACAGAGGTACCAAACATATTCCCTGGAAGAAAGATAGCCTCTTTAATAAATGGTGCTGGAAAAACTGACTCTACACATGCTAGAGATTAAAACTGAACCCATATGTTTCACCATGCACTAAACTAAAATCAGAATGGATCAAAGATGTTAATATTAAAATAGAAATATTAAATGTACTGGAAGATAGAGCAGGTAAAATTCTTTTTTTTTTTTTTTTTTGTCTTTTTCATTTTTATCGGTACCAGGGATCGAACTCACGACTGCCTGCTTGCAAGGCAGGTGCTTATGCCGTTGAGCTAAACCACCAGCCCCTTGTTTTTTTTTTTTGTTTTGTTTTGTTTTTTTTTTGTCTTTTTACAGGTAAAATTCTTGAAGACATTGGTGTGGGCAAAGATTGTATGAACAAAACCCTGATTGCACAGGAACTATCACACAGAATCAACAACTGGGTCTTACCCTGTTGAAAAGCTTTTGCACAGCAAGAGAAACCACCACCAGAGTAAAGAGACAACCCACAATGTGGGAGAAAATGTTTGCCAGCTGTATGTTAGACAAAAGGATTACTATCAAGAACATATAGTGTTGGGCATGGTGGCTCACGCCTGTAATCCCAGCACTCAAAAGAGGCTGAGGCAGGAGGATTGTTGCGAGTTCAAGACCAGCCTGGAATAAAAAGTGAGCTCAAGGCCATCCTGAACTGCATAGAGAGACCCTGTCTCAAAAAGACTATATATATATTATATTTTATTATATATATATATATACCAGTCCTCCCAGATTTAAAGACTCATCCAAAATTGGGCGTCTGAGATGAATACACACTGCTCTGATGAAGAAATACAAACATCAAATAAATATGTGAAAAAATGTTCAACATCACTGGTCATTTCAGAGATGCAAATTAAAACAGCATTGAGATTCCACCTCATCCTAGAAAGAATGACTAGTATCAAGAAATCAAACACAAATGCTGGAGGGACTGTGGAGGAAAAGGACCCCTTCTCCACTGTTGGTGGGAGTGTAGACTGGTGCAACCAGTGTGGAAATCAGTGTGGGGATTCTTCAAACAACTCGAAGATTACAGGTCCTTTTCAACCCAGGCATTTTTTCTTCTGGGTACCATCCCAAAAGAATTAAAAACATCATACCACAGTGATATATGTGCACCCATGTTTATAGCAGCTCAGTTTATAATAGCCAGATATCTTGGAAACAACCCAAATGCCTGTTGACTTAGGAATGGATATAAAAGATGTGGTATATTTATACAATGGAGTACTACTCAGCCACAAAGAAGGATAAACTGGACACTTTTATAGGTAAATGGATGCACCTTGAGACCATACTCAGTAAAATAAGAAAGACACATGTGTAAACATCATACTGTTTCATTAGTGTGACAAGCTGAAAGAAAAAACAAGTATATGTGTATAAAAATAATTAAGAAAGCCGGGCAAGGTGGCACATGCCTGTAATACCAGCACTCGGGAGGCTGAGGCATGAGGATTTCTGGGAGTTTGAGACCAGCCTGGGCTACAAAGTGAGCTCAAGTTCAGCCTCAACTGCATAAAGAGACCCTGTCTCAAAAAGACCCCCCAAAAATTGCTAGGATACTAATACTACTGATTTCTCGGTGTTCACTGAAGAGAAAGATTTGTGCTGGTATTGTTCAGACAACTG